TCAAGTGACAATTACTTTAAATGATTAACGAATATGATAAATGGAAGTATCTATTTGGGACAAGATAAGCAGTTGGACCACTTTATTGGGATCCGAATAATACTGATTTGTCACCCCTCAAAAAGAACAGGTTGATTACTGAAGAAGTGGCGCATCAGGAAAATGTGCAAAGAGAAAATACTAACTTGCTCAGTAGTGCCAACTTTTCAGGAAGTTTCGGACCCTCTACAAATCGGGCTGCTACAAGGTTTTGTGTTCCTATGGTAGCTTCAGTATGGTAGAAGCCTGCTGACACATACACAAGAAGTTACCTGAAAATCAAACCGATTGCAATGGAGCAGGATTAAAATACAAGTGATTTGGAGGAGGAGGATGCTGTTCAGGTAAGACTAATATCAATTTCATCCTTAAACTTCAACCATTTCACTTTTCTACAAGAAGATAGGAAAAACATAGAATATTTAACCAAATCATGTAGGTCTGCTTAAGTGTGCAAAGTAAGGCCATAAAATGTATGTGGGGTTGCAGCCGGCAGTCTTTCATGTCTCTGTACTTGGTTAATTATCGTAAATTATGGTGTTTTGCTCTGATGATGTCCGTTGCATAACGAATAAAAACTCAGCGTAGCTTTGGTGGGGTTGTAAGACGATGAGACAAGGACTTATTCGCAAAAAATCTACAATCACAGATCCTAGGCAACCCTACTTCGAATTCTGGTGAGGCGTCAGATAGACGGGTCTAATGTCAAGTGTTAAACTGGATATGGAAACTATATCAATAAGCGGAAGATAAGGAAAATTATTTAAATAAGCGAAACAGCCAGAATCCTTAATAGAAAGTATAATTTTAGGACATCAAGTCAAACCTAAATGTTGCTATTGAATAGGATTATGGAGAGACGTGGTAGCCATAAGTAGCATTATGCAAGAGGAGTTTTGATTAGGCTCTAATCTTGCGTTAACTCACCCACCATAAGTACTTCAAGAGCAAGGCATTTAGACAGAACGTGTGCAATGGAATGAAATCATCTACAGTAACAATGCCTAATAAAAAATATAAGTGATTTAGGGTAATATGCAGCTGTCTGGTCATTCTTTAACTGCAGCCACTTAACTATTTAGCAAGCATTTAGAAAAATTGTAGAATATCAAACCAAATAATGAGATGCAGCATTAGGTAAAACCAAATTTGACTCGAAGAAGTAGGTTGATTTGCAGCCGACCACCTAGCGTGTCTTCATTTTTTAGTGAGTTATCGCTAAGCATATTGTCCTGTTGTGACGATGTCTATCACACGACGGACAAAAGCTCAGATTGAATAATCAAGGTCGCATAGGGGTGCGCCAAGTACCTATTCGTACAAATTTATAACCACAGTTTAAGAGCAATCTTACTACAGCTTCCGGTGAGGCCGACTTAGTAATTCCCTACATTGGCCTTTGCAAATAAAATGAAAGATACTTTAAAATCATGTTCATTTCCTGTTTGGGAATATGAATTACCTTTGATTCCATTTCTCATGGGGGTGCGGCCCCTTTTTTCAAAATCTCTTTTTCGATCGTTTTGAGCACAGGGACCGACGTTGTCTGGAGTTGGCTATTTCATGTCCTTACCCCATAAAAAAGATGCCCTATAAAATAAATTGTTTTTTTATTTAAAAATAGTTTTAAAATCTAAGGAGGCTTTTTGTGATAAACGGATTGAATAGACTGCACAATGACATTTGAATAAAGGTCCCGCCTCTTTAGTATTGAGGCTTTCTTATAGACGCGTTTACTAGGATATGTAACTTAAGCTATTAGTAAGGTAAAGTCCAATATATTATTTAAATAAATTCTTGAATAAGGAGATAGGATAAAGACTCTAGTCAAGAATACAAAGGTAAAATAAGAAAGAGAATATTTGATACATAGGGAATAATTTAATAAAGTTGACGATGAGAAGCTTTATCCGAAAATAATTCGAAACTGAAAAGGCTTACAACACAATAGGAATAGATTCCATAAAATATCTTCACAACTAAGATTTACCGCATAATATAGCCTCTAACGATGTAGATTAGAAGGCATCTTCCAGATGAATGGGTTATAAAATGAGAACTCCAACAAGAAAAAATGGCTGATAAATGTAGTAAGGATATAATTTTTAATTTTCTATGAATTAAAACCAAGTAAAGGAGCTTTGCGTTTCTTCTTATCAGGTTAACAAGTTCTTTATTCTACTAACTGCACTAGTTAAATTACAAGCTACTTTACAAATTACAACATGCTTTATATTCAACTAAATTGATTCCGAATGAACGAATTCTTGTGGAGACGTAGATAAGGTAGGATAGATTATATCTATAAAGGCAAATATTTTGGGATTGTGATAAGATATTATAAGATAATCTAGGATATGGATAAATGGAGGTCGTAAAATTATAGATGCAAAGTATGCCAAAAGATGACTAGGACAAACATTATTTGAGAACAAAAAAGTAGAGATAGAATATAGTATACTTAGGGAGCGATAATTAACTTAGCAAAATAAAGCAGTTGTATCATAATTGTATCAATTTTGTTTTTTACAAAACCGAGTAAATGTTACATATGTGCTTTGATGCCTTAATCTTTGAGTGTGACAAGGCTCGTTTCGAGGAGCGGGAACACTCATAAGCTGTAATCGAG